AGTTAAAAGACACAGACTGGCTAAATGGACTAAAAACAAAACCCATCTATTTTCTGCCTAAAAGAAACATATCTCACCAAGAAAGATACATGCAGACTGAAAGTGCAAGGATGGAAGAAGATATTCCACGCTAACAGAAAGCAAAAAAGGGCAGGTGTTGCCACCCTAATATCAGATAAAATAGGCTTTAACACAAAAAAAAAGACAAAAAAGGGCACTATGTAAAGATTAAGGTTTCAATTCAGCACATAGATGTGACTAAAATAAATGTATATGCACCTGATTACAGGGTGTCTGGCTATTTAAAAGAAATGTTAATGTATCTAAAGAAAGACATAGATTCCAACAAAATAGTAGCGAGGCTTTTTTTTTTTTTGACAGATATAGTTAGACAGTGAGAGAGAGACAGAGAGAAAGGTCTTCCTTTTGTTGGTTCACCCGCCAAATGGCCGCTATGGCTGGCACTGTGCTGATCTGAAGCCAGGAGCCAGGTGCTTCTCCTGGTCTCCCATGTGGGTGCAGGGGCCCAAGCACTTGGGCCATTCTCCACTACCTTCCAGGCCAAAGCAGAGAGCTGGACTGGAAGAGGAGCAGTCGGGAATAGAACTCGGTGCCCATATGGGGTGCCGGCACCACAGGTGGAGGATTAACCAAGTGAGCCATGGTGCTGGCAATGGACAGAAAAACTAGACAGAAAATCAACAAAGAAGCAACAGAGCTAATGAAAACACCAAATGGATCTAACTGATTCAACAGAACTTTTCACCCCACAGTTGCTAGGCCATAAAGCAAGTCACAACAAAATCAAAAAAAATCAAAATCATATCATGCATCTTCTCTGACCACAATGGAATGAAGCTGGAAATCAACAACTCAGGAATCTCTAGAACATATGAAAACACATGGAGACTGAACAATGTGTCCTAAGTGAATAGTGAGTCATGGAAGAAATCAAAAGGGAAATAAAAAAATTTCTGGAAATGAATGCAGATGACAATACATCATGTCAAAACTTATGGGATACAGAAAAAGCAGTGTTAAGAGGGAAGTTTAGAGCAATCAGTGCCTACCTGAAGAAACTAGAAAGGTAGCAAATAAATGAACTATCAATGCATCTCAAGGACCTAAGAAACAACAACACACCAAACCAAAATTACCAGGAGGAAAGAAATAATCAAAATTAGAGAAGAAATAAACAAAATTGAAACCAAAAGAACAATACAAACAATCACTGAAATGAAGAGCTGGATTTCTGAAAAAAAAAAACAAATTGATACAACACTAGCCCAAGTAACCAAAAAAGAAGAGGGAAAAGACCCAAATCAATAAAATAAGAGATAAAAAAGGAAATGTACAACGGATACCACAGAAATAAAAAGAAGCATCAGGAATTACTACAGAGATATATGGCAACAAATTGGGAAACCCAGAAATGGATAGATTCCTAGACACATACAATCTATCAAAATTGAGTAATGAAGACATACAAAATCTAAACAGACCAAAACCAAGATGGTAATTGAATCAGTAATAAAGACCCTCCCAATAAAGAAAAGCCCAGGACCGGATGAATTCACTGCTGTATTCTACCAGACATTTAAAGAAGAACTAATTTCAATTCTTCTCAAACTATTCTAAACAATTGAAAGGGAGGAAATCCTCCTGAACTCCTTCTATGACACCTGCCTCACTTAATTCCTAAACCAGAAAAAAAAAAATACAACAGAGAAAGAGAACTATGCACCAATATCCCTGAAGAACCCAGATGCAAAAATCTTCAATAGAATATTAGTTAATTGACTCCAACAATACATTAGAAACATCATTCACCCAGATCCAGTGGGATTTATCCCTGGTATGCAGGGATGGTTCAACATTTGCAAATCAATAAATGTGATAGATCACAAAACAAAGAGCAAAAATCATATGGTTGTCTTAATAGATGCAGAAAACTTTTGATAAAATACAACATCCTTTCATGATGAAAACATTAAGCAAATTGGATTTAGGAGGAACATTCCTCAACACAATCAAGGCAATTTATGACAAACCCATGGCTAGCATCCTATTGAATGCCCACTCTCACTATTGCTATTTAATATAGCCCTGGAAGTTTCAGTCAAAGCCATCAGGAAAGAAAAAGAAATCAAAGGGATATAAATTGGGAAGGAGTAAATAAAACTATCCCTATTTACAGATAACATGATCCTATATATAAGACATTCAAAAGGATGGATATAAAGTCAACACAGAAAAATCACTACTATACACAGACAATGCCACAGCTGACAAAGAACCTTGAGGATCAGTCCCATTCACAATAGCTACAGAAAAAATTAAGGAGCCAGCACTGGGGTGTAGTGGGTGGAGCTACCGCTTGCAGTGCCGGCATCCTATAGGGGCGCCGGTTTGAGTCCCAGTTGCTCCACTTTCAACCCAGCTCTCTGATTTGGCCTAGGAAAGCAGTTAAAGATGGCCCAAATCCTTGGGCCCCTGCACCCACATGGGAGACCCCAAAGAGGCTCCTGGTTCCAGATCGGTGCAGCTCCGGCCATTACAGCCAATTGGAGAGTGAACCAGTGGATGGAAGACCTCTCTCTCTCTCTCTCTCTCTCCCTCTCTCTCTCTCTCTCGGCCTCTCCTTCACTCTCTGTGTAACTCTGGCTTTCAAATAAATAAATAAATCTTTTTTAAAAAGCATTAAATACCTTGGAATAAATTTAACCAAGACTTCCAGGATCTCTATGATGAAAATTACAAGACACTAAAGAAAGAAATAGAAGAAGACATTAAAAAAATGAAAAATCTTCCATGTTCACAGATTGGAAGAATCAACATCATCAAAATATCCATACCACCAAAAACAAGATACGGATTCAACGTGATCCCAATCAAAATACCAATGACATTCTTTACAGATATAGAAAAAATAATGCTAAAATTAGTATGGACCACACAAAGGGCCCTGAATAGCTAAAGCAATCTTATACAACAAAACAAAGACACAGGCATCACAATATCCGATTTCAAGACATATTACTGTGCAGTTATAATCAAAACAGCCTGGTACTGGCACAGAAACAGACTTGTAGACCAACAGAACAGAACAGAAACTCCAGAAACCAATCCATGCATCTACAACCAACGTTATCTTTGACAAAGGAACTAAAATCAATCCCTGGAGCAAGGACAGTCTCCACATGCAGAAGTATGAAAGTAGACCCCTACCTTACACCTTACACAAAAATCCACTCCAAACAGATCAAAGACCTAAATCTACTACCCAATATCAGAGAACATGGGGGAGACTCTGCAAGATATTGGCATGGCCACAGACTTCTTGGAAAAGACAGCAGGAGCTCAAGCAATCAAAGCCACAATTCACCAATGGGATTACATTAAAATGAGAAGCTTCTGTACTGCAAAAGAAACACTCAGCAAAGTGAAGAGGCAACTTACAGAATGGGAGGAAATATTTGCAAAATATAAAACTGATAAAGGGTTAACATCCAGAATCCATAAAGAACTCAGGAAACTCAACAACAACAAAACAAACAATACAATTAAGAAGTAAAGGACTTGAACAGGTATCTTTCAAGAGAGGAAATTCAAATGGCCAACAGACATTTGGGAAAATGCTCAGGATCACTAGCCATCAGGGAAATGCAAATCAAAACCACAAAGAGGTTTCACCTCACTCCAGCTGAATGGCTCACAATACAGAAATCAACAAATAACACATGCTGGTGAGGATGTGGGGAAAAAGGTACCCTAATCCTCTGTTGGTGGGAATGTAGACTGCTGCAACCACTGTGGAAGGCAGTATGGAGATACCTCAGAAATCTGAATACAGACCTACTATACGATCCAGCCATCCCACTCCTGGGAATTTACCTAACCAAAAGAAATCAGCATCTGAAAGAGTTATCTGTACCTCTGTGTTCACTGCAGCATAATTCATAATAGCTAAGATATGCAGTCAACCGAGATGTCCATCAACTGTTGACTGGACAAAGAAATTATGGTATCTATACACTCTGAAGTACTAGGAAGGAAGGAAGGAAGGAAGGAAGGGGAAATCCTGTTTTGCAACAAGATGGATGCAACTGGAAAGCATTACACTTAGTGCAATAAGCCAGTCCCAAAAACACAGATATCAGAAGTTTTCCCTGATCCAATAGAGAACCTGAAATTTAATGAATCAGAGTGAAATGGACATTTTGAGATTCGATGACTGTTTACAGCCCTGTCTCGTCTGTTCCAGAACAGTGTTGTTGTTGGTTTTTTCTTCATACTATTTGTTGAACACTTTTACTTCATGTAGGGTTAACTATACAATCATTAAGTAAACTGAAAATAGATCTTTGTAAAAATTAAGAGTGGAAATTTAAGAGGGAGGATTAAGACAGGTTGCAGCATGGGTGGGAGGGAGGATGGGGGAATTATCACTACATTCCTAAATCCGTATATATCAAATACATGAAACTTGAATAACTTAAAAGAATTTTAAAATACATAAGTAAATAAAGATTAAATTAAATGGGGGAAATTAATGATATGAGAATTATGTGTTTATAATGCTATTATTTTAAAATATTTGCATGCCTGCCACCAATATTCTGGTATGTGAACCTCCTCAATCTCAGGATGGTATTCCCACAATCGGCTTTCCCCCAAATTTAACTTATACTACTGAATATGCTTTTTCAACTTCTGCCACCCTATCTCCAGAAAGGCATAATAATTGTATAAACTGTAATGACTGATCACAGTAATACTAAGATTAGTATTAGGTATTCTCTACAGAAGGAATTCAGTTATTATTAGCAGCTATCAATTCTAAAACTAACAATGAAACCAGGGAGCTATATCATGAGTTAGTGTTCATAACAAGGTTAATGACTACTTAACGAGGTTGTTCCAGTATCTCAAAAATAACAACACTGAACCTGATTTTCATTTTTTTCTGACATTCAAATCACTTTTCATCCAATACTTACGGGGTGTAGCCATTTTTGTGAGGATAGGAGTCACAATATCTTCTAATTGTTGTCTCTGCTCAAAGAGCTCATTAATAGAAGCATCCGCGTGCGTTTCCAGCCATTCATTTTTTGCACGGCATGCGTTGAGGATGGTGTTCTAGGGACAGAAATCAACAGTTTACTTCCCACTTATTTATTAAAAAATAAAACTCCATAGTGTATCTAATTCTGTGATGATGGAAATATATATATTTCTATCTGTATTGTCCAATTCTGTAGCCATTGTATATATAGCTTTTTTTTTTTTTTTGACAGGCAGAGTTAGTGAGAGAGAGAGAGAGAGACAGAGAGAAAGGTCTTCCTTCCGTTGGCTCACCTCCCAAATGGCCGCTGCAGCCGGAGCGCTGAGCTGATCCGAAGCCAGGAGCCAGGTGCTTCTCCTGGTCTCCCACGCGGGTGCAGGGCCCAAGCACTTGGGCCATCTTCCACTGTCTTCCCGGGCCACAGCAGAGAGCTGGACTGGAAGAGGAGCAGCGGACAGAACCGGCGCCCCATCCGGGGCTAGAACCAGGGGTGTCGGCGCCGCAGGCGGAGGATTAACCTAGTGAGCCTCGGCACCGGCCATATATATAGCTTTTAAGTATTAGAATGTGGATGGTATGACTAAGAAACTGAATTTTTAATTTTATTGAATTTTAAATAATTCTACTTTAAATAGCCACATGTGACTAGTGGTTACTGCATCGGACAGCACAGCTATAACGTTAGTGGGATGTCAGAATACTAAAACTCACCACAAAGAGTCATAAAGCCTTAGGGCAGTCTACACTCTCTCCCTAATATTTATTTTCACTGATCCCTGTGACAAAGAGAAGTGCTTCCAAAGGCTGGCAAAGAATTGGATGGTGTGAACTCTGTGTAATTAAGTAAATAATGCTGGGGCTGGCACTGTGGCGGAGGTTAAACTTCCACCTGCGGCACCGGTATCCCATATGAGGTGCTTTTTATTTATGCCAGGAAAATTTCGTTTTGCAGATCTAATGGCTCCAATAGCTATTCTAAAAGAATTTTGCCTATATTTTGTTTCACAAGAGATAATGGAGTATTTTATAAGATATAGGTGCTATATGTAACTGATCAAGTTCTTAGACTTAATGATGTCTTTTTTTAGCAATACCTAATTCTTTTCATCTACTTTATGAGTCACAGAAAATTCACAGAGTATCCTGTATAAAAATGCAAGAAACACTTGAAACCAAAACATTTGTGACACCTTAAGCATGTTTTTTAAATGTACATCCTAAGCATCAAACTAGTCCATAGGCTAGAAATCATAGTTGTGATAAGCTAGCTTTACAATAATTATCTTTACATTTGTTTCTTGTTTCTCATTATGTAAAATTTGATAATTAAAATTAGCCATATACATATACAAGTACACTAAAATACATAATGTACATCTAGGTTGTGATTCAACATACTGACATAACAAAACAAAAAGTACTATTAACACAATTTCTGTGTCTCTGTCCTGTCTCATTACCTGCCGGCTTCCAAGAGATAACCTCAATGTGTGCTTAACCCTTTGCTATTTAATAGTTGTATGTCACTATGTAGGCATCCTTAAACAATAGAGGGACATATTGATAATTTTGAGTTTTATAAATATGTAATCTTCAGTAGGTTCTGTTTTTCCACTCAAAACTACATTTCATGGGGCCAGCGCTGTGGCGCAGCAGGTTAACGCCCTGGCCTAAAGCACCGGCATCCCATATGGGTACCAGTTCTAGTCCTGGCTGCTCCTCTTCCGATCCAGCTCTCTGCTGTGGTCTGGGAAAGCAGTAGAAGATGGCCCAAATTCTTGGGCCCCTGCACCCACGTGGGAGACCTGGAAGAAGCTCCTGGCTCCTGGCTTCGGATCAGCACAGTTCCATCCATTGTGGCCATCTGGGGAGTAAACCATTGGATGGAAAATCTCTCTCTCTCTTTCTCTGTCTCTCTCTGCCTCTCCTCTCTCTGTGTAACTCAGACTTTCAAATAAATAAATAAATCTTAAAAAAGAAAACTACATTTCTAAGATTCACCCATGTTGCTGGGTGTGACACTCAGTATATCTTATGACACTCTTTAATACTATGGGAAGAAGAGAGGGAGGCAGAGGGGAGGGAGGGAGGGAGGGAGAGGAGGATCAGTAAGGGCCAACACCAACCTCTAGAGTATCAGCTTACATTAAGATGTAAGACAAAATTTTCAAAAGGCGTCAGAACAAGCATTGGGCACAATGCAGTACCTTATCTTCCTTAAAGAGCTTCCCTGGTCCCTTTTCAGTGTCAGTAACAGCCAAAGTGGCCTTTGCGATATATTTTTTCAGAGCCAGCCTTGCATCTGAAAAAAACAGGACAGTAAAACACACAATGACAACATAAAGAACAAACAAAAAAAGTTCAACTGTTTGTGATATACTCTTATATGTCCAGCATTTTATAAAGACCTTATGTAGACTTGCTGTGGATATGTGAAATTCAAAAGAAAATTATGATAAAAAGGAGCACCTTTTAGAGAACATTTCAGGGACCTGTGTTGTAGCATAGAGGGTCAAGCAGCTACTTACAAAGCAAGCATCACATATGGGTTCCAGTGTCTCCAAGGTAGCTGCTCTGCTTCTGATTCGGCTCCCTGCTAATGGTCTGGGAAAGGCAGGGGAAGATGGCCCAAGTGTTTGGGGCCTTGTCACCCTTATGGAAGACTCAGATGCAGTTCCTGGCTCCTAGCTCCTGGCCTGGCCCAGTGCTGGTCACTTGGGACATCTGGGGTGTGAATCAGTGGATGGAAGATATCTCTCTGTCTTGCCCTCTCTCTCTGTTAACTTTTCCAAAAATAAATAAATCTTTTAAAACAAACAAAAAAAGGCCAGCGCCACGGCTCACTAGGCTAATCCTCTGCCTGCAGTGCCGGCACCCCGGGTTCTAGTCCCGGTTGGGGTGCCGGATTCTGTCCCGGTTGCTCCTCTTCCAGGCCAGCTCTCTGCTGTGGCCAGGGAGTGCAGTGGAGGATGGCCCAAGTGCTTGGGCCCTGCACCCCATGGGAGACCAGGAGAAGCACCTGGCTCCTGGCTTCTCGGATCAGTGCAGTGCGCCCGCCACAGCGGCCACTGGGGGCTGAACCAATGGAAAACGAAGACCTTTCTCTCTGTCTCTCTCTCTCACTGTCCACTCTACCTGTCAAAAAAAAAAAAAATTCCAAAATGGAGTCAGGAGGACATCAGGGGACAAGGGCCTACCCATGTATTAAATGGCTGCCTGGGAAAGTGAACTCTTAGACTGGGGACAAAAGAAAATGACACAAGAATGCCGACCATTTAACTAGGCCAAGGCCTGCAAAGCTATTAACATCTTCACTGGAGGTTGTAACTGAACAACTGTCACAAAGGACCAATGAACTTCAAATCAGAGGTAGACCTAGCAACCAACCCCGTGTTCCCCTGTGATGCACAGCTGAGAGTTAGAGCCACTTCTCTGCACTGTCCCCTTTCTTTACCCGGGACTTACGGGACTTCCTGTGCTCAGCTTCCCCATCCTGTCAAGGACCTGGACCATCTGAGTTTCTTCAAAGCACCCATTCAGAGTCACCTGAATCTGTGCTACCCCCAGTTCCAGTCCTCAGGCCCCAAATAAAGCTCTTTAGCTTTCACAGTTTCTGAGTTTGAACAGATTGACAGTTTTCATTGAATTTCAGAAAGATAATACTCAATCACCACATTGCTTTGGGGCTCTTGGTGTGTTCCTCAAGTTCTACTAGAATTTTTGAAAAATAAATAAGATACAAACATGACACCTGAACTGGAGATGTCAAGATGGCTGAAGAGAGGTGCCCAGCACTCACCTCCTCCACAAAGAAATGACAAATGAATACCTGCATTTGGAGGGGAGTATACAAGGGATAGCACTGGAACTCAGCAAGGTCTAAAAGACACAGAAACCCAGGAGGGTAGCACAGAGAGAGGAACCAAACACACTGTGACACACACACACACACACACACCCCGCCGCCGCCAGCTCCCTGGCCAAGGGAACACCCCTCTGCAGGGGAAAGAGTAAATGGGCAAGTTCATCACCATGGACACCAGCAATGTTAGCTGCAGGTGAGCTCCACTGTCCTCCCAGGCTTAGAGCCCAGTTGGAGGAGCTGCCTGGAGTCCACACAGCAGCGTTTCTGCAGAGAAGGAATTCAGACTGTCTCCCTCCAACCCTCAGAGCACAAGCTGCTACAGCGCAGTGCCAGCTTTGAATGAAGCACAGCTGAAATCCATACTGTCCGAGGGAAGAGAAGCTGCTGCATACCACAACCCTAGAGATGTAAATACGCCACAAAACTTGCACACAAGGCTGCTTCCTCACAAACCCAGCTGCACTCAAAAGTGAAAGTCTGACCCTGGCATTCCAGCCCAGGCGGTGCCCGGTGCTCCAGGGAGTAAGTGGATCGGCAAAGGGGAGAGTGAACAGCCAAGGAACCTAACCCTGGAGCCGGGAACCCACCTAACTCAGACCCTCGCACTGCTGCTGTTTCCTCACACCACATCAGGGCTGAGGTTACGCCTCCTGCAGTCCACGCCTCTGCCTAATGTCACCACTAACAGGCACCATCCGCAGGCATCACAGAGGAGCCTGGGGACACAGCTCCTGCTGCTTCCTGCTATTGGCAGCACTCACCCTTCAGTGACCCAGGATACAGCACTGTCCACCACACCCCAGTGTCTCCAAGGCAGCTGCCAGAAGTCACCACTATCAGGAGGTGGTCACCGCTTTGAATCCTGGGGACATGTCTCCATGCTCCATGCCTCCAGAACTGCCATTGACATTGCCAGAGAATCTGCTGACAGCACAACTCACCCCAGTGGTGCCTAAACATCCACCACGTCCCGTATAACCAGAGCCGCTACTTCTATTGTTGGCGTGGCCCCTCAGTGGGTACACCACCTCCACTGTGTGTGCCTGGGCAACTGTAGTACCCTCCTTGTACAATCCTTAGAGACACCACGACCGCATGTACCATGCCCCAAACCATAAATTATAGTTGAAAATGCTACAGGGAGACCACACTCAAGCATACAACTGGAATCAAAGCCAATGTAGCCTACCTAAATAACACCTTAAGACATCTTTAAAGAAGGTCTTTTATTGCATAAAGAACCATATGATTCTAAAACTGATAGAGACAACTGATTCACCAAATACATAAATATTTTTTATGAATAAGCAAGGTAACACTTACAAGGGAACATAGTCCCTGGCAACAGGTGCCAAAGAAAAGACTACTGATACAATGCCTAAAAAGGCATAGAAAAGAATGTTTCTATGGAAACTCAATTAGATACTAGAGATTACAGGCAGATAGTTCAACAAAATTAGGGAGGAAATCACAATATGAAGGAGAAATCACACTATGAAGGAGAAATTAAACAAAGAGACAAAGATCCTGAAAAAAGAACCAAACAAGAACTTGGAACTGAAAAATTCAACAAGGCAAATAAAAAACGCAATTGAGGACCTCAACAATGGACGACATCAAGCAGAAGAAGGAATGTATGAATCTGAAGACAGGTCTTTTGAAGCATCCCATTAAGACAAAAAGAAAAAAGGAAAAGAGTGAGCAAAATCTCCAAGCTTAAGAGATACCATTAAACGAATAAATATATTAAAATTATAGGGATTCCAGAAAGTGAAGATAAGGGAAAGGCATAGAAAATCTATTCAATGGAATAACTGCTGAAAACTTCCCTCATGGGAAAGATGTAGATATTCACATCCAGAAGGTTTAACCAAAAACCGTCCTCACTAAATTATACAGTCAGAATGTCAAAAAGAAAAAAAAGACAAAAAAAGCTTTCCAAAAACATCAAGAGAAAACACCAACTCACATGTAAGGGAACTCTCATTAGACAAACAGCAGATTTCTCAGTAGGAACTTTACAGAACACGAGGTGATGGGATGGCATATTCAAAGTCCTAAAAGAAAAAAAAATAGCAAAGCTAGCCCTCAGAAATGAAAGAGAAATGAAGGCTTTCCATGACAGGCACAATGAAGGGCATTTATCAGTAGACTAGCCCTACAACAAATGCTTAAAGAAGTCCTACATTTGGAAGTGAAAGGAGAGTAACTACGATCATGAAAACACGCAAAAGAATAAAATTCACAGGTACACATATATTCACTGAAAGAAACATACACGTATCCAGACATGGAGCACTCAATTATATAAAGCAAACATTATTAGATTTAATGGAAAAGATAGACTCCAAGGCAATAATAGCTGGCAATTTCAAAATCCCATTTTCATCAATGAAAAAAAAAAACAATAAAGAAACACAGAAGTTATAGTATACTATAGAGCAAATGGACTCAACAGACATTTATATAACACTTCATCTAACAGCTAAAGAATTCATATTCTTCTCATCAACACATAGAATATTCCCCCATGATAAACAATATGTTATGGAGCAGGTGCCATGGCACAGCGGGTTAAAGCCCTTGCCTGAAGCGTCAGCATCCCATATGGGCGCCGGTTCTAGTCCCGGCTTCTCCTCTTCTGATCCAGCTCTCTGCTATGGCCTGGGAAAGCAGTAGAAGATGGCCCAAGCCCTTGGGCCCCTGCACCCACGTGGGAGATCTGGAAGAAGCTCCTGGCTCCTGGCTTTGGATCGGCACAGGCTATTGAGACCATCTGGGGAGTGAACCAGCGGATGGAAGACCTCTCTCTCTGTTCTCTACCTCTCTCTGTAAGTCTATCTTTCAAATAAATAAAATTAAAAAAAAACAATATGTTAGGTCATACAACAAGCTTCAACAAATTTTAAAAAAATAAATCATACCATGTATCTTCTTAAATCATACCATGTGTCAGTGAAATAGTTATTTTTTAAAAGATAAATAAAATTGATAAGCCTTTCAAAGACTAACCAATAAAAAAAAGATCCAAATTAGCACAATCAGAGATGAAAAAGAAGACATTACAAATCACACCCCAGAAATACAGTCATTAGAGACCACTATAAGCAAGCATATGCCAACAAAATCTAGAAGAAACGGACAAATTATTTCACACATTTAACCTACCACAAGGTAATCATGAAGACCAAGAACACCAGAACTGAGCAATAATGAGATAGGAGACCGAATCACTAGTAAAACTCTGCCAACAAAAATAGTCCAAGACCTGATGGTTTCACTTCTGAATTCTATAGAAAGGTCTCCTTCCAATTTTTCTCAAACTACTCCAAAAATTAGAAAAGAAGCACTACAGGGGACAGTGCTGTGGCAGACCGGGTTGACGCCCTGGCCTGAAGTGCCAGCATCCCATATGAGCGCCGGTTTGAGACCCAGCT